TGTGTGTGTGTGTGTGTGTGTGTGTGCGTGCGTGTGTGTGTGTGTGCGCGCGCGCGCGGGGCGGGGGTGTCTGCCACGGATAACAGAGCAGGCAGGAGGGGGAGAGGACGAGGAGAAGAGCGGTGGACTTGCTTTTAATTTTATCTGACTTGTTTAATTTAATTTTTATTGTTTTTATCGTCCTGCAGGCTCTGAGGGAAAATTAATTTGAAGCTGAGATTTTTATAAAAATCGTTAGATTACTCTAAAGCAAAATGAKGGAAAATCTGTGTCAATTACAGACAATCTGTTCACGTGAGCAGCTGTCAGTCAGTACCTGTCAACCTCCAAACACACGACGGAGCGTGTCTGAACCAATCACTTTTGTTGGCATTGATCAGCTGACTGATTTAAATACATCTTAACTTACATGAGGTACTTTACATTGACTGTTTATGGTTGAGTGTGGGCGTGTAGAGGGTAGAACCTGAGGCGGGACCTTGTGCACAAACTCTGACGTGCGGCTGTGATTTACAAATGAAAGGTGCGCAGAAACGTGCGTACGCACGGTTTTATTAATCTGAATTTTAATTTTTTTTGGCATACGCCATTTCCACCTTTTGGCCGTACGTTCACTTTTAGTATGGTTTCCACACAATCCTTTATAAATGAGACCCCTGAACACTAGTGCGTTCCTCGGTCTGAAAATAGTGCGTCCAACGAGAGGCGTTTTGCGCTTTTTGGCCGCTCAAAACGCGTTCGGTGTGAACGTAGCATAGTTACGAACATATTTTAAACTTTGACAGCTTCACTGAAGCCATGACTCTTACATGGTGAGAAACATTTTAATCCAGGATTCTATCATTTGTTTAAAAGAATTAACATAAATATAAAAGTGCAACTTTGTACAAGTCTTGTGCATCATTTTAGTGTTCTGTTACACTGTAATACAGGCTGGTTGTGTTCATAATTTGACTTTGTTAGACTTTATGTAATGATTACTTTGATTAACTTTATGGCATAGATGCTTTTTATATTTCACTGAAAAATTACAGAAAATCCAACATGTTAAAAGATCAGTCAACCTACCCCATCTGTCCTTTCCATGCTGTTTTTCTCTCTGCCCTGTCTTGTGTTTTTACCAATAAGCAGCTCATTAATCTAACTTATATATTGTCATACCAGCATGCACAGTTTCACAGTAAATCTTATGAAATATTCATTTGAAAATGAATTTATTGGGGGTTTCCAAGCAAGTGTTGGAGCTTTTGCACTGTCCTTCTTGCAAACCTGATCTTCCCTCGTTTCTTGCGGTAGGCAGTGTACTGGTTGGACTTGAGTTTGGAGTAATAGTCAGAGAACTTGTTGAAGAGGATGGAGATAGGCAGCCCGTTCAGGATGATTCCAAAGGCGATGCAAATGAAGGCAAACACTCGACCCAGCATGGTCTCTGGGTACACGTCCCCATAGCCCACAGTGGAGATGCTCACCTGCAGGGGAGAAAGGAGAGCAGTCAGAGCTGATGGGAGAGCAAACCAACAACCGGAGAAGCTAAAAATACATGTAATCTAACTGGAACCAACATGTCATTTAAGACAACTCTCTGTTAGGTGTGAAAAGATTGAACTCATCAGACGGCTTCAAACAGTTTACATCAAATCACACAAATTAGCAAAGTTTCCTGAGGTGACAGAAAAGATTTTCACATCCTTGTTAGAAGATGGTTAATTGTTTATTTTGCTGTGTCACTGGCATTTAAAAAGTGTTCACTTCTTCCAGACAGTGTGTCCTCTGGACTTTCAGTTAGTAAATGTCTAAACACTTCTGTTTAAATTACATTTTTTAATCCAAAACTGATCAAAAACAAGACAGAAACTGGTCAGAGAGGCTTCACTGAAGGTATCAGAATCCATGTTCTTTGTTGTTTTTGTTTTGATGTCTTATTTTTATTGGATTTAGATATTTAATATATTATTGAATATTTGTTTTGTGATCCCGATGTTTTTAATGTTTCAGTCCTAGTTTTTCTTTGTGTCATTTCTCTGTCCTCCTCAGCCAGGTCTGCTCCACCTGTTCCTCATTCACCTTTAGTCACAGCTGCAGACACTCTTCCCATTTTCCCAAGTCCATATATTTTGTCATCACACATTAAACAGGCCCTGTGCTCCTCCTCATGTCTTTGTGTTTCCCTGTGCCTTATTGAGCTGCAGGTTTTGCTGACACAAGTGTTTTTGTTTTGTTTTTGTAAGAGAAAAACATTCTTTAAAAGTTTACATCAATTTCCTGGGTTCTCCTGTATGTCTGGACTCAAGACTTTTTTTTAGAAAGTAAAAATACCCAGGCCAAAATAAATAACTTACACACACACACACACACACACACACACAC